CTTCAGATACCGAGAAAGGAGATTCATTATACATATTATATGCATCGCTTCCATCCAATACTCTTAATCAGATAGTATCTTCTGCATTTATCATATAGTAGGCAAGTCCTGGAGTCCTATTGTGGTGTTGTGGGTTATGCGCTGAACTGCAAAGTCAATTTGATCCACAAGACAGGTGGTTCAAGCTTACCAGCTACTCCTTGGAAACCGTATACATGGTCGCTATGGGTCGGAACTGACCCAATGGCACTTAACGACAACAACAACAGGCAAGTCCTGGTGTGGCACTGTAGAATAAGCACTGGACTGCTTACCACATGGTGAGTGGTTCAAGCCCACCAGTCGCTTCTTAGAAACCCTACATAGGGTTGCTATGAGTCAGAATGGGCTTGATTGGACTTAAGGACAACACAGCATGTAGAAAATACTTGATTCACATATGGTGGATAAGGCAAATATAATTTCTAAATGATAATGTTGTTTTTTTTTACTGATAGAGCTCTCCTGTGGAGAATATTATTTATAGAAAAGTCTGTTTGGTCATGGAGTTGGTGGATATGATCTGAAAACAATGGCTTTAGAAAATATTAGATAGATTGTATAGAAGAGTTGGTTTCCTTCCTGTGCCTTTGCCTTTGATACTGTGCAGTGCTGCTAAGTCCTTAAAATATTTATGCCCCTTTCTTTGGAGAGATTAAAAAAAAATAGCAGGGTAAGGGTTTTGACTAGAAACATTTGTTAGTATAGAATGTCCCCTTTCATGATAAAGACTGATATCTTTGGAGCTGCCTCATGAATGACCTCTGTCTTTCCTTAGTACCCTTTGCCAGAATTGGCCCACAGCCACTTATGACCTGGATGTGACAATCTGTGGGTCTCTGGCACCAGGGTTAAGCTAATTTTAAATGTATGCCATATTAGCATGCCAACAATGCCACATGAGTATTCCAGATGTCTACTTTATCATCATCTTAAGGCTCTTGAGAGGTAGTATAGTAACGCTACTTTCAACTGAAAAAGAAAAAGTAGGGAAATTGGAATTGCACGAGTTCTACAAAAGCATGTTGGAGGCATATAATGAAAAAGCAGATTTTTTTTTATTATGATGTTTCTCCATATTTGGCATTGCTGTAAATGGCTAACTAACATTTACTGCCAATTCAGTACAAATGTGTGGTTTGGTAATACCAGAACAGCAAATTTAAATGAAAAATAAAAGTTAAACATTTCCACACAAGATTTTACAGTCTGACATTTCACTGTGTAGGTAAAGACATTTGTATTTTCCACTACAGCTTATTCAGCATGAATAAAAAAAACTACAACTTTTATTTTTAAACAGGAGTCACTGGTTTTTAATTTTTACACATTTTAAAATTACTGTGATAAAAAATAATGAAAAAGCTTCTTAATAATGCCATACACAGTATAATATAGATTTGTCCCCATTATATAGCATTTGTTTAATATACAAAATAGAATATTGACACACTTGAATCTATATGTAGTTGAGCAAGTTATTTGAGGAGGGTATTTTCATATAGCCTTTCTTCAGAAAATAAAATCTTTTCAGACATTTTCTAGAAAGATGCTAATCCTTTCCTGAAAACCTGATCACTAATCCTCAGTGGAACAGGCTAATTCAGAATAGCCTGGAAAACCATGAAACTTCCATCCAAAGTGGTTTAAAGTATCCTCTTTAAAAAACTTTTATCACTTTTATTTCCCCTTCCAACATTGAAATTAGGCACATAAAAACACATTCATCTATAGCTACAGTCATCTGTTTGACCAACCAAGATGAAAATCTCACCAACGGCTGCCATGGTGCTTCAATTTGGGCAGAGCAGGGTCTAATGAGATTGTTTATTCCACAGTGACAGAGTTCTAGGGTTTTCCAAGAGGGCATTAAATAATATTTAATGGTAACAGGCTGTACAGATAGGTAAAATTGGAATTGTCTCCCCCGCCCCCTCCCCAACATTCTTTAAGTGCAGCTGGCTTTCCTTCACGTGCATGCCGTCCATTTTATGCTCTTCAGATACAGATCCTGGTGGTTTTTCTTCTGGGGTGGCCAATTTTTTTTTGTTTTTTTTTCTATTCAGGACCAGGCAGGCGTACTTCTAGGCTTCCATCCTGTAGTTCTAAATAAGTGGGTCTATACCCCAAAGCATTATTTCCTTTGCTCACTTCAGTACACCTTGTATGGTACCTCAGAGCAAGGCCTGAAAATATTGAGTCTTTCCCCCCTCCCCCAGCAGTAATTAAAAATACTTTTCAGGATTTTTTTGTGGAGTCACCTAAACATGTCACAATCTCTCATGGAAGTTACGACAAACTTAATTTGACATGACATGGTAAGAGAGATGTCACATACAGAGAAAATGAAGCTGCTGCCAAATAGCACCATTATCTATCTTTTTTTCCACTTGAATCCATAATTATAATCAGACAGTTTTAATTTAAAAAACTTTTTTCTCTCCTATGTATTCTGATTAAAAAGCCTTTTTTCGTTCCTATATATTCTGAATGGGCACAGCCTCTTCTTCCATTTAACGAACAGCCTCCTATGGTTGTTTGATTTCCTACTGACAACGAAAAGCACATTTTCACTAACTATATATTCTTAGACTCAAGGTTGTTAGGCCCAAAGATGAATGTGTGACATGCTTTCTAGTTTTATTTTATAAATGAACAATAATTTATTTTTCAGATGCTCTAATTGAAACTTAACACTGTCATTGATAATGATATTCAAGCAGTATTTCATAGGCACCATAAATTTTCACATCCAGCTGGGCTACAAACCATCTTAAAATACTTTGAGATCAATTTAAACTATTACAAAAGGAACATTCCCTTTTTGAGATTCATTCAAAAAAAAAAGCAAATGATTACATTTTCTTAATTAAATAACTTCTCCAAAATACTGAAAATAACAAATAACATTCAAAAAAGCATTCAAAAGGAGACATAAACATGTCCTCATTTTATTTGGAAATGAAGTCTTACTCAAGGTGGAGGATAGAAAGAATTAGTGTATTTATTGGCAACCTATGAGATTCTGCACTATTTACATATTGCTGGTACCTCTATGCATATTATTGCCAAACTTCTAAAGCCTCTGTTTGTACATTAAATTGTTGGAGAGGCTGCATATGAAAGTAACCCTGCTCTAGATGGTGCCTGTCAGTATGCCAAGCACCACCTGTCTGTCACGTTTACACACTTGCGTGCAGGGAGAGTTAGTGAACTAGCCCTGCCCTGGCAGACTCATTGTTGGAATGAGAAGGTGGTCAGAACGGGAGGCAGAGTAACTACTTCCTGGGTTCTGACAGAGCTGGAGCCTCAGCAACCTCACCACATACAGGACAAGTGTCTCATTGTCCTCTTTCCCTAGAGTAAACCTGCTTGGTTTGTGAGACCATCGCCGCCTGTATGAATGCTCGCACACACTAGAAATCATATAGGTTATCCATCTACATTTCTTTGACCCCTACAAAAAATATATAACATGTCGTGATAAAACAATCTCATCTAAAAATCATTCTTATTTTACACTATACAAGCTATTTTACAATCATTTTAATAAATTGCATGTAAAGCTGCAGTAGCCCTTCCCTTCCCAGATTAGTGAATACCAATATGATATATATCTGAAACTATAACTAAATATAAAAATATATTAGAAGTTTCATATTTTCAATATTAGATTTTCAGCTTCTTATTACACAAATAATTTGGCCACCTTGAATAGAAATCAAATTTCTTGTGGCTTAGTAAATATGTTAAGTTTTGAGTTTACAGAAAGTTGGTAAGGTGCACACAGAAAGGGCTACTACAGCTTCTAATTTGTTTAAAATGATAATTTTCAACAATGGGGAGGAATTCACAAGACTGTGTTAAACTCTATGGCACATATAGGGATGCGTAGTTTTACAAACATGGAAGTCTGACATACAATTCTAATTCACAAAAATCAGTAGCTGAGCTTTCCTGTACCCTCAGGAAAGAGAAACCAATTGGTGACAGATGGGAATGTGAAAATGGGTGTCTAGCCACTTTTGCCATATTAGAGATGTATTTTTTGAGTAAAGCTTAGCAAAAGGAATTACTTGCTCTGATTAAAAATCTCTCAGCTGTGTTGCAGCTGGTTATCTGGAACCTTAACTTTAAAGACATTGTACCAACTACTACAAAAGGTCCTGAAAGACAATTTACCAGCTTTCTTGTCATCTAACTATTTCAGAGGATAGGGGCATTAGGTACAAACAGGGCCTCTTGGTAGTTTTATTTTGTTAATTAGTCTTTTGCAACCATCATCCACAGTTTACCAAGCAGGTCATTGGACTAAGAGCCCTATACCAGTTAGGACGGTTAATCTGCACAACCTATATAATTCTCCACTGAAGCAGATATATACAAAATATGAGCCTGTTTTTGACAAGAATACTGGAGATTTGAGTCTATTTTTGTGGTCTTCTGACAGCTAAGTGCTATCAGGTGAGAAGCACCAACCCATTTTCACACAGAAGATTAATGTTTAGAGTTTATTTAGGAAAGCTATGAACTAGCTGCCCATCTTAAACAGCTGTACAACAGGCAACTTGAATACAAAAATTATGTAAGAAAAAATGAGCAAACGTAGTTCACTGAATATAAAGGAAATTGTTAAAACCAGACAATAAGAGCTATAAAAGGCACAACTTCCCTTTTCTGATATACACTTGTAAACTTTTTTCCAGATTTCCATGCATAAATCAAAATTGCTACCTTAACTATAGAGGGGAAAATACATCAACAAAAAAGTCTAGAAAACTGTATCCAGCCAACTGTAAAAAGTATGAGCAGAAAGTGTTTGCCTCACAGACTTTGGGCACTGGTGGTTCAGGTGCCCCCCTTCTGACAGTAGAGGTTACGCCACATGATTGTTCCTAATTTCTGGGATACACCTAAAGCATTCCACTTTCTACTCTTTCCATCACTGAAAAGTGATGGACCAACTGCTTCTGTTGCCAAGTCTTGGCCCTCTATAAACCACATGTAGTGCGTATTTAAAACAAAACAAGACAAAAAAGGAAAAAAAAAAAAAACAAACCAACCTACTACTGGACAAATTGAGAGTTTGTACAATAAAAGCTATAAATTTGACTTTCTTTAAGGCAATCTTGCTTATTAAGGCAGTCACTTTTGATGAAAGAGAAGCTTTTTGATATTTCCATTTGTATATTTTGATATCTGATTGGTGATGATTTCAGCTAACATCTCTGGGAATTCAATACTCATGGTCTTATCCAAAAATGTTTGGAAGCAATAGTTAAGGAGACTTTCAACCACCTGCAAGAGAAGATACAGTAATGATTAGTATTAAAAATTGATCAGTAGGGCGAACTCATGCTTATTGGCCTCTTCTTATGTTTTTTTTGTTTTGTTTTGTTTAAATATTTGACCTAGAATATACCCACCTCTACTGGAATTCCGCACCCCCCCACCCCCGGTCCAAGTAAAAATTTAAAAAGATTATAAAATGTCTTCTGTACTTGAGTGTTCATTTTGTTTAAGTTATATTTGTGGAATTAAGTGTTTCATGATAAACATGATTGTATTCTAATTTATGGGGTTGTTAAGTGCCATTGATTTGGTTCTGACTCATAGTGACCTTGTATCAGGTTTCCAAGGAATGGCTGGTGAGGCTGAAGCACCCATCATGAGGTTCAAACCGACCTTGCAGTCCAGTGCTTATCCTATAGTGTCATATCAGGACTCCATTTGTGCGGTTAATCATACAAAGACATGGAATTTTATGTTTTTTTATTTTTAAAACGTGCTGTTTTATATATTTATATCTATAAACTGTGTAACTGGACTCCTGGTGTGCAGCTTTGGCATCAACACTGGACTGCAAACCACAAGGCTGGCAGTTGAAACCGATCAGCTGCTCCCTGAAAACCAACTGGGAGGCAGTTAACAACAACATACATATAATATAGATGAAGCATTTCTTAACTAGCCTTAGGAAAAGTGTGTGCAAAGCTAAAATACATAAATTCAACTAAAACCATCACCAAAATCCAGGAGGGGCGGGGGGCTGGGGAATACTGGTATTCACACACACACATATGTATACAGGCTTCAACAATTTTGTGGAAAAATGGAATTTTTCCATGAACTTTTTGAAGTACCCTTTTTTGAATACATAATCAGAGCATACATTATGTTCCAGAAAAGTCCTTCCTATATCTGGCTTTATGTTTGATACTTACATCATGCATGGAGTCCAAGAGCTTTGTCAGTTGATAAAATCGCTGCCAGTTCTGACTGGAGTTTCCTTCCCGTTTGACAATGGCCTTTCCAAGTTCTTTAATATAGGTCATTCTGATTTCATCAAATAGCTCTTGGCTCTTCAAGCCTTCTTTAGGAACTGAAAGGTGAAGATGGAATCATGAATGAATTTTCTTGCTCTAACTTTACATATATGAACCCACCCACTGCCATGGTGTCTGTCCCAATCACAGTAGCCCTGTATCAGGGTTGCCAAGCCTGGAAATCTTTAAAGGAGCAGGCAGTCTCATCTTCCTCTCATGCAGCAGCTAGTGGGTGTGAACTGGTGATCTTGTAGTTAGCAGTCCAGTGCTTATCTTTTAGTACTACCAGGGCTCCTTACATATATGAAAGTTGTTGTTGTGAAGTGCCATCAAATCAATTCTGACACATAATGACCTTGTATAGGGTTTCTGAGGAGTGACTGGTGACTTTGAGCTATCAACCTTGTGGTTCAAACCGACTTTGAGTTCCACTCCATAATCCTACAGTGTTAAACTAGGACTCCTGTATGAAAGCAGGACAGACAGCACAGCTCATAACTTACAATGAGTTATTGTTGCTGTTAAGTGCTGTCGAGTCCATACCCACTCATAGAGACCCTTTATAGGGTTTCAAAAGAGCAGCTGTACATTAGAACCACCAGCCTTAGAGTTAGCAATCCAGTGCTTACCCTAATATGCCACATCAGGACTCCTTACAATGAGTAGCATACTAAATACAGGCATGATTTCAAAGAATCATCAAACCACTGCTGAGAGAATATTGGATAAAAGAACTGAAAAACTTGGTAAATGCTGTCGAGTCAGTTCTGACCTATAGTGACCCTGTATAGGGTTTCTGAGCAGTAGCTGGTGAGCTTGAACTGCTGACCTTACAAATCAAACCAACTTTGCCGTCCAATGCATTAACCCACAGCACCACATGGGGACTCTACATACAATAGAACAATACACTGCCTGTTCCTCTGCCATGCTCCCAATCATTGCTGTTTGAACCCACTGTTTCAGCCATTGTGTTTGTTAATCCATCTAGTTTAGAGTCTTGTTTCTCGCTGACACTTTACCAAGCATGATGTCCTTCTCCAGGGATTGATCCCTCCTGACAATGTATCCAAATTACATAAAACAAAAAAATCTCATCATCCTCACTTCTAAGGAGTATTCTTGAAGTACACTTTCAAGAGAGATTTGGTATATTCAATATTTTTTTGCCAACACCATAATTCAAATGCATAAGTTGTTTGATCTTCCTTATGTCCAGCTTTTGCATGCATATGAGGTGCATCTTAATCCTCAATATGTGCTTACCCTTGGTAAATCACTTGATCTCTCATCTACAAAATGGAGCTGGTAAGGATAGCTTCCGCTCTAGTTCACATGGCTATTTTGAAGACCAAATAAAATTATACATTGAATATTTAGTTATCCTTGGCTGTCATGTTGCACTTGAATTTAATTGTAGTAACAAGACACAGTAAGGTTCTACAACATTGTTTAAATTTATCTGTTCCACATCTCAGAATATCTATGTCACAAGTTAATTAGAACCTTATAAGCAGCTCTGGTAGCGTAGTGGTTACGAATCGGGCTGTGAACTGCAAGGTCAGCAGTTCGAAACTACCAGCTGCTCCGTGGGAGAAAGATGAGGCTTTCTGCTCCCGTAAAGATTTACAGCCTTGGAAACCCTGTACAGGGTCGCTATGGGTCGGAACCGACTCGACGGCACTTAACAACAACAACAATCAGTATGCAATAAATTTTATTAATATGATAACATTGGATATTTCATCTCAAAACAAATGTGCATGTCTTCAAAGTCCATCTATGTTGTATCATGTATTAGAACTTCATGTCTGTTTATAACGGAGTAGCATTCCATTTTATGTATGTACACCACATTTTGGTCATTCATCTGTTGGGCATTTGGGTTGTTTCTACCTTCTGACTATTGTAACTGACGCTATGAACACTGGTATACAAGGGTCTGTTTAAATCCTGTTTTAATTATTTTGCATATATAGCCTAGGACTTCTGGTGTGCATAGGGTTGCTATGAGTCAGAATCAACTCAAAGGCACCTAACAACTACAACCCAGGAGTGGACTTGCTGGTTCATAGGGTAATTCTGTACTAACTTTTTGAGAAACCACAAAACTGGTTTCCACAGTGACTGTGATCATATTTTACATATTTTCATCTTTGTAATGCTACCCCTTGGCAAAAAATAGCCTGTGGTGTGTACTAGTTCAATGTACTTTTTCATATTATCTACAGTGCACTGTAAGATAAGCATTGAGCTGCAAACCTCAAGGTCAGTGGTTCAAACTCACCAGATGTTCCTTGAAAACCCTACATAGGGTCACTCTGAGTTGGAACCAACTCGATGACATTAATGACAACAGCAGCAACACAATGATAAATTTAAACCATTATTTTTAGAAATAATGTCATCTTCATGGTATCAATCAGAACCATTATTAGCACTTTATCTGTTTATTCAAATAACATCCAGATCAACAATTACTTATGGCTTCCAAGTCAACAATAACAACTGCTATAGGTTACCTTCCAACAAGTCTCTAGCAATGATCTTTACCTTTAGGTATTTTTACTGGGTAGTAGAAAATTCTTTTGCCTTGATTAAAAATACTTCTTAAATCAATTAACATAATAAAACTTTTTGTGAAGCAAAAATAGTGCAGAAGCATTAAGATTTATGTGAGCCTTGTTGTTGTTAAGTGCCACTGAGTTGGTTCCAACTCACAGCAACCCTGCATAGGATTGGGAGGTGGGTTTAAACTGCTGACCAGTGCTGATCCTCTAGCATTATACCAGGAGAGTTAAAATATAGTGCAACAATCAGAGTGCTTAAAATTGTTTGCACCACTCAGGGACTCCTACCTGTAAAACCTGTTACTAACTGAATGAAGATTTAAAAAAATCTTTTAAAAAATCACAGATTAACTTATAACAAAGTATTTAACAAACACTAATCTGATACATCATTTTCACTATAATTGCCTAAAGATACCAACTGGTTCTTTTATTAGTAAAATGTCAGTATTTTAGTAATCTAATTTTTCTAGGAAATATCTTTGTTAGCTAAAAGTCATTTCAGTAAAGTTTTTATACCAATAGCCTAATCTAAATTTTCAAAATTGTTATGTGTTATAAGCTCCTGTTTCTATTTTCTAGATAGAACACTGCTGTCCAACAGTCTAGCTCCTATGCTACTTTAACCAATCCCCAGTAGTAATCAAGCACATCTTTCCCTCACATACATACATGAAGTGTTGCTGAGTCAATTCTGACTCATAGTGACCCTGTGTAAGGTTTCTGAGGAACAATTGGTGGGCTTGCATTGCTGACTTTGTGGTTAGCAGTCCAGTGCTTATCCTACAGCACCACACCAGGAGGACAACATAGAAGAGTAAAAAAATCATTCTAGTTGGCTTTTTACCTCGTTCTCCTACAGTGGTGTTAACCAAGGTCATACAAAGAAAGCAGTATGTGCAAATCAACAGAGACCTTTGTGCAACTTAAAAAAAAAAAAAAGAAAAAAAAAATATATATAATCCCTATTTGTCTTATTAACTTTCTATAGTTGACTATGCCTTAGTAAAATTTTACATTTACGAAAATCTCAATCATCTGAATAGCAGGAATTAGTAGCAGACTTGGTATAGCTATTAGTACTGTGCAAATTAATAAACCAATGTTTCTAGACTTTCTTATTTCTTGCTTTTGATATATTTAAAAATGAACTGGTGGTCTACCAACCTGACGAGAGAAGCAGTAAGGTTTTCATACAGAGATACTCTTCATAAGATACCTGAAGTCTTTGCAACTCAGAGGAAACATACATCATTTGTTTACATTGGTCATACATGTAGGGTAGAGACATTCTATTCCTGTGAAAGACAAGTATCATGGCTTCAGTTAGAAAGAAGTAATGCTAGTTCCTTAAAAAGTACATTTGTTGTTTTGTTTTCAATTGTAAAACTATGCTCTCATGAAGAAACGTATAACTCTTGCTGTTAATGCTAATTGCTAGTAAAATCAGAATTTTGGAAAATTTTCCTTATATTTGGTCCTGTGCTTAGAACATCTAACGAGACTAGTAAATAACTTAATTTTACATTGGAAAAAATATTTAAACATTTAAAACTTATTCCTACAGAATTTATTGATTTGTTCATTTAAATCAGGATTTTATGGCCAATTAGACAACAGTTTTCTAAAGACAACCATGTGTGATACTGTTTATAGTTCTGCAAAAGGCCAAAACTAGAACTTTTTGATACCCCGAATCTGTCTCTGACAAATATATGTAACTGCCATTATCATATCTGCCATTTCCAAGCAGATCTCTAAAGTTTCTAGTCTTCTGATACTAAAAGACTCAAACTGTGTCTGGTTCATGGCTTTTAATGTAGTTCAAGATCTTTCTCTTTTCATTTCTGGCAAGAAGTGATCTTGAACTTAACCAAAATAAACAGGCTATGGCTTTTCCCCTACTTTAAGAGAAGCTTTATTTCTTAATGTAATCAAATAAATCAGTCATGACTGTATATTGCCCAAGTGATCCCAGAGGATCTTGCCGGACTCTTCAAAGTTAAAATCTGCTCTTGCCAAAGGGACACCTTTCTTATGTCTTAATAGAATAGTAATCAAGCATTCAATTTCTAGGAATTATCTTTTTTCCTTTAGTTTCTTATACATGGTAATACTGCTCACGTAACAAAAACTTTCAACAGTCATTCTATTTGGCTTAAAAAGAAAGAGCATTCTTTACAACATTCAGATCTAAGGATAACTGTGCAACACACTGTTTTATACCTAAACCAAGGGTCAGAAGTTAACTATTTTCTGACAACTCAAATCTGCCTCTCACAAAACAGAGCAGTATGGAAACACAGTGGGTTAAGGCAAGAGAAATGGAGGTCTACCACTCCTACACACAGCAGCACAAAGACACAAGAATGAGAAATGGGGGATATATCCTTCAAAGCCATTTTCATACAAACCATCTGTCTTCCAGTAAAATTGAACACTGAGTAGAAATGTATGTTTCAAATTCTTTAAATTTCCAGAAAGCAATTTTTTATATCTCACAATGAAAACTAAATGTAATTTTTGGTCCAAAAAAAAAATTCATTTCCATAATTCATACTTGAAATATGTATGTGGCAACTACTGAACTCTAAATCTGGATACCACAATAAATTAGATTACTTAGGTTTCTAAAAGAGGGATGATAAGTCACAACTTTAATTCAAATTAAATAACTTCAAAATACTTTTAAGAAAGTGACTAATAAACATGATGCTTTTAAATAAGCATGGTTGGATTTGGAAATGGTCAAAAAGTACTTTGTTGTTGTTGTCAGGTGCCATCGAGTCGGAACCGACTCATAGCGACCCCATGCACAGCAGAAAGAAACAATGTCCGATCCTGGGCCAACCTCACTACCGCTGCCACACTTGATGCCATCAATGATGCCACCTGGCCAATCCATCTCATTAGGGGTCTTCCTCTTCTTCTCTGACCCTCCATCTTACCCAGCATGACATCCTTCTCTAGCGACTGTTCCCTCCTGACAATATGTCCAAAGTATGAGAGACGAAGTTTAGCTATCTTGGCCTCCAAGGAGCACTGTGACTGTGCCTCTTCAGAACAGATCTATTGGTTCTTTTGGCAGTCCATGGCACTTTCAGTATTTTCCTCCAACACCACAACTCAAAGGCATCAATTCTTCTACGATCTTCCTTATTCACTGTCCAGCTTTCACATCCATATAAGGTTATTGAAAATACCATGGCTTGGGTCATGGTACTTAGAGATTGTAAATGTCTTGTGTTTGAATATAGGCTAAACATGTTTATCAGTTAATTTAAAATCAACCAACTTAAACCTTGTTTAACTGTAATAGAGTGGTTTGATTTGTCTTTTCCTCTTCTGGTGATAGGCAAAGTGATTTCTTGCTCTGATACTGATACATGGAGGTTTGTGTGGAGCTGTGTTGGGGCCAAGTAAATGGCAGTACATACTAGCTCAGGACTGAGCTATGGGCCCCTTTTCTGGATTATATGAAATCTATTTCATCCTCTTGTCTTGTTGCTTCTCACTATGAAGCCTGGTCCTTCCCTTTCAGGTCTCAGCTCAAATGGCAACTCCTCCAAGAAGCATTAGCCACTCTATTCTAAGCAGACCACTCTCTAGTAAAAATTATCATAGTTCTGAAATTTTGGTGGTTAGCTATTGTCCTCCACTAGAACATTAAGCAACTCAAGGAGAGGAACTTTGCCTTGTTCTCTGCTATAGGAATGTGAAAGGCATATAGTGTAGTTAATAAATGCCTTCAAGTTGGTGCTAACTTAAGTGACCTAGCATAGGGTTTTCAAGGAGCAGTTGGTGGGTTTGAACTGCTGACCTTTCAGTTAGCAGTACAGTGCTTATCCTATAGTGCCACAACAGGACTTTATATTAGGAGTGCAATACATATTTGTTAGTCTCTAAAGTCCTTTACTGTCAGTGTCTTGTGCCTAGAATAAAATCTATGCTCTTTTTAATGACCTAAAAGATTCTCCTTGATTTGGCCCTATGTACTTCTCTAAACTCATACTATATCCTCCGTGGCCTTCTTTCAGTGTCTCAAACATGACAAGCTTGTATCAAGCCTGAAATGCCCTACCCCTTCACATAGCTTGTTCTTTTATTCCATTTAGAGAGGACTTCTATGGTCACAAATCTCATGTTGCTCCTCCTCTTCTCCCCCAATTATACATATTATGGCTCTTTGCTATAGTTATAGTTGTTTGACTTCCACCATTAATGTTAGTAGGGACTTGATCTATTATGCTATCAATAAGGGGGGTTTTGTAAAAGATTGTGAAAAAGTGGAATTGAAAAATAAATATAAAAATATAAACTTTATCTCTGAAAATAAGCTCCAACAAGGTCAAGACACTTTTGTAAGTGATGATACCAGCCATTTTGTCTATTCCTAAAAAACTAAGAGTCTTGGTAATTCAACCATGTCACTACAGTCTTTTTTAACCAACTGAAGAAAACAGGTGGCTTTTAAAGATTTGGAAACAAAACAAGTCAGAAGGAGCCAAATCAGAATTATAAGGTGGATGCCTAATGACTTCTCATTGAAACTCTTGCAAATTGTCCTGGTTTGATTAGAGGAATGAACAGGAGTTTTGTAGTGATAGAAAAGGCCTTTCTGGTGAAGCTTTCCCAGATGTTTTTCAGCTAAAGCTTTGGCCAACATTCTCAAAACGCTCTCATCATAAGCTGAAGTTACTGTTCTTTGGCCCATCAGGAAGTCAATAAACAAAATGGCTTGAGCATCCTCTAAAACTCTTGCCATGACCTTTACTCTTGATGGTTGGCTTTTGCTTTTACTTGATGGATCACTTTGACCTCTTGGCAACCATTAACTTGGTGCTTTGTTTTAAGGCTCTTACTGATAAAGCTAAGTTTCATCTCCTGTTAAAATTCTTCCAAGAAATACTTTAAGATCTTGATCTCACAAATTTAAAATTTCCATTGAAAGCTCTGCTTTTGTCTGCAGCTGATCTGGGTGCAAAGTTTTGATACCAATGGAACAGAAAGTTTGCAACTTAAACTTTTTAGTCAGTATTATATAAAGTGAACGAATTGAGATGTCTGTGGTGTTAGATATCAATTCTGCTGTTTGTTGTTGGTGCTCTTTACTTAGGGCACAGACAAGATTGTTTCTTCTAAAACTGATATGGATGGTCTGCTGCTGCAGGCTTCATCTTCAATTTCATCTGGTTCCCTCTTACAATGTATTAACCATTTGTAAACTGCTGATTTCTTTGGGACATTGTCCTTATAAGTTTGTATTGTAAAGCATCAGTGATTTCACCATTCTTCTACCCAAGCTTCACTACGAATGTTTGTTCTTGTTTTAGTTTTAGCAGAATTGATGCTGCTATGATAGAGGCTCGTTTCAAATTTATGTCCTACCTGTCTTAGTGCCTCAAACTAGATCCATTTCATACATTATAACAAGTTAGTATGAATTTACTTTGGTGCAAAAAAAAAATTCATTTTCCAAGAACCTTTTGAAGATTGCTGGTATTATATCCCACTAGGAGTCCTGGTAGTGCAGTGGTTTGAGTGGTTGGCTGCTAGCCAAAAGGTCAACAGTTCAAACCCCCCAGTCACTCTGTGAAGATGTGGTAGTCTGCTCCCATAAAGATTTACAGATCTGAAAACCTTATGAGCAGTTCCACTCTGTCATGCAGGGTTGACTAGAAGTCAGAATTGATTCAGTAGTAGTGAGGTGTGTTTTTTTATATCCCAGGTACCTAAAAGAATGTTCAAAATCAATGAATGAATAATGTATTGGAAAATATCACCAATGGAAAAACAACACCAAGTTTACCTCAATGGTTCAGTTAGGATTTATAGACCAGATTTCTACATAGCTAGCCTACTAAGTAGAAGGGAAACCAGAAACGTATTTATATAGTTTCAATTTATCCTGCTAGACATTGGCAAATTGGTTAAGTGCTTGGCCACTAAAGGAAAGGTTGGCAATTGAAATTTACCAGTCACTGTTTGGGAGGAAGATGAAGCAGTCTGCTTCCATAAAGATTTACAGCCTTGGGAGTCCTCTGGGCCCGGTCTACTGTCTTACAGGGTCACTGGGAGTCAGGGTTAACTTAACAGCAACAGGCTGGTTTCTGTTTTTACTTTCTGGTTTAGCACAAGGAAGGGGTGCCCTGGCTCTAGAATCACTGAACTATCTATGGCTTCTTACATATTGCTTAAGAGTTTAATTAAAAAATATCTGGACCTAATATTATCCAGGAACTCTGACAGCGTAGTGGGCTACAAGATCGGCTGATAACTACGAGGTCAGCAGTTTGAATCTACCAGTTGCTCTGTCGGAGAAAGATGAGGCTTTTTGCTCAAGTAAAGATTTACAGACTCAGAAACTCTACATACGTTTCTGTGTGTTGGAACCATCTCCATGACACACAACCAGTATTATTCAACCTGCGTTAAAACACAATAATGAAACCTACTACTTCATAGGGTCTTAGTGTGATGCTGTAGGATAAGCACTAGACTTATAACTACTACAAGGTCAGCAATTCAAACACACCAACTGCCCTTGGGAACCATACACAACAGGGTTGCTATGAATTGAAATTGACTCAACAGCACTTAACACAACAAAGGTAACAATGAGACATGCCCTTAACACTCAACTCAAATAATTGCTATTCATTTACACATCACTATGGAGTCTGGCACACTCAAAAGAATGCTTTCATGGAGTATCATTTTTGCTTTTCTTCATCTCTCTAATGTCTGCTTTTCTCTTTCCTCCAAACAGCCACTGCTCAATCAGTGTTAATTTTCAAACTCTTTGCCATCCCAAACAAAAACTGATGATGGATTGATTGATTGGCAATAGAGCACAATGGGACTATTATTCTGAAAATTCATTAATTTTTTGCGAACTGTTCTCAACAACATCCAGAGCCTACAAGGAAAGAAATTCCTATCCTTTAAACACAAATCTCCGTATTATACACTGCTTGAGACCATGTGTTTTTTGTGTGTCTGAACTCCCCATTTACATTCTAAAAAAGGCAATAAGTTATGGACGCAGTAAATATTAGATAGGAAGTGGTAAGATCTAGGTATATCCAGAAGACAGATCATTATGGTGATGTGAAAATCATAAACTCAGAGTACGTTTAGTGTGTGAAAAACAATGGGATAGGGGAGGCCAAGTTCTGGAAAGCCTGAAAGACCATGCTTAGTAGTCACTGGATAGTCAGTGAGGAGACACTGAAGACATCTGTGTGTATGAGAGACACGTTGTGATGAGAACTATTTTTGTGAAATTGTGGTTACGAATCGGGCTGCGAACTGCAGGGTCAGCAGTCTGAAACTACCAGCTGTTCCACGGGAGAAAGATGAGGCTTTCTGCTCCTGTAAAGATTTATAGCCTCAGAAACCCTGTACAGGGTCGCTATGAGTCGGAACAGACTCCATGGCACATAACAACAACATAGGAGTGAGTCCTGGTATGGTGCTGTGGGTTAAAGTGCTGGGCTGCAAAGTTGGTTTGAACCGCAAGGTCCGTGGATGAAGCTCACCAGTCACTCCTCAGAAACCCCATACAAGGTTGCTGTGGGTTGGAACCGACTTGACAGCACTTAACAACAACAACAACAGCATAGGAAGAAACAATTAGTCAACAAAGATTAAAGACAGAATACTAGAGAGACACCTGAAATATTTCAGAGTGAAAGCCTAAAGATGAGAACTGTGTATTGTTACGGACTGAACTGTGTCCCCAGAAAGACAGGGCTTTCCTCCAAAACTGGCAGAGAGAAAAGCCTTCTTCCAGAACTGGCACTTGAATTTGCACTTCCAGCCTCCTTGTAAGAAAATTAATTTGTTTGTGGTATTTCTATTACAGTAGCACTAGATAACTTAAACAATTAACTTGTAAAATCTTAAGGCTGAGATTACCAAGTCATCAACATTGAGGAAGGCTTGCCATGCAAAGAGTATGATACCTCTTGTTTCTGTATCCACATCTCCTCACCCCTTCAGCCTACATGGTCTCATTTGTAATTGTTCCTACTACCATGTTCCTTTTGCTTCCTGGAATGTTTGTGCCATTAAGTCAGTTCTGATTCAGTAACAAGCCCATATAGCATTTCTGAGGAGCAGCTGGTGGTTTCAACTACCGACCTTTCAGTCCAGTGCTTATCCTACAGCTCCATACCAGGACTCAAACCTTGGGATAGGATTATGTAATTAAAACAGTAGCATCACAACAGGAGCCCTTAATACGTACTATAGACTGTACTGAACTCAGAAATGCCCGCTGTTTAGAAATCATTCTTAGATGTATCCTGGGACATTAAGAATAGCATATATACATTTTCTCTGCATTACAATGGGTATGTCCAAACTGCTAATACACATTTCAAGTCTCCCCAGTTCCAAGACACCTGTTAGGACTAATTTGGTCCTCACTTTTCACAACAGTATTCCAATTCCATTAGGAAAACATTAGCTGGTTTAAAAATAGTCTTTGAAAACAGGCAAAATGACTCTCAAAAAACTTACTCAGTAATAATCAGATCAGGAGCAAAATACAGCATATTACTACTTGTTTGTCTATATGATCTCCACCCCAGGGCAAATGCCATGAGGAACATCCATGAGTATTGCAGTAGGGTCATTTGGTCATCCAGGTGTAAGTTCCTGAATCCTAAATTAAGAGAAATAAAAGCATGAGGAAACACCCTAGCTGCTAAAGAGAAGTTCATCTCTTATTGGAACAGCCAAACACCAGAGATCAAACAGCCTTATCTGGAGTAATCACTAACAAATAGAGGAAATGAAGCATTAACTGAGCACAATTTTCTTTTGTTATCTTCACATAAGCCCTCAATACTTTTTTTTTTTTAATAGTAAAGTTATTTATTATACAGATAATCTTTTAATGAATTTCCATTACTTTTATATATATAATCATTTAGACAACCAAAGGGCACATTCTGCAAGCCTGCCTCCTGGCTTCCAACACACTGCTTTTCTCTTTCCACAAGTCTAGAGTCCTCTAGATTAACTTTCTCATGCTGCTCTCTCTCTCCATCTCTGGTGTCTCTGTTTCTTTGGATAGGGTCCTACATTCCACTCATGCTCTGTAAGATTAACTACTCCCCTCTTTTTGTTACAAAACTTCTACACCTTTACGGTTGTGACGTCACAATTAGTCATGATAGTAATTATTCACTGATGAATCATAAGAATCTTATCTCCATCTCTTTTCACCAGACCCATCTATACAAGATGAAACTATCCAAGGGGGATTCCACCTTCTTCTGAACACTGAAACTAAAAGCCCTCACTACTTTTTAATAGTATTCAGTGTAACCTACACCTATGGATGCAGTAGCTCAAAAGAGGGAACAAATCTTTACAGCGAGGATCATTCCCACCCTCCCCCCATACACAGAGTACACAGGGATGGGCAACTTGGACATTGGCTACCCAAAATTGGGGTGGGGGTGGGGAATTCAAAGGCAAGAAGTGACTGGCTTACAAGCTTTCAAAAAGGAATTTAGATCCCAAGGGCGTGGAGGAAGGTAGAATCTCCACTGAGTAGTATCCAGTCTGTCTAGGCTGGGCTGATGAAAGGAAATGTGGATAGGTCTCTTGTGATACAATAGTGAATAATTGTTATTAGGAGTGATTGTGAGGGTTGGAAATGCAAAGGTAGATGTTTTGTAGCAAGGAGGGGAGTGATTAACTTTGCAGTCTAGGAGTGGAGGTCCCTGGGACCATCAAGGGACCTCCCTTGAGGAGGACAACTCCATTCAGGACAACTGTGCTACCTGAGCTCTGTGTGCAGGACCGTTATAATACAATCTGTAAAACCCCAACATAAAAGGACTCAACCATCTTGAGAATTGCGCTGTGCACATACAGACACCTAACTGACCTTCAGAGACAAAAATAGTGGACAATCTTTTTCCCATTAACTTCTCAATATCTACCTGTGCACCTATATTGTAGTGACTAGAGGAGGGGCCTGTGCAAGCTCACACCCTCAACCACTGCTGGAGGCTTCTACCTTGCACATGCACTGCCTGTGTAGCATGTGAGAGTCGACCACAGCAATATTTCTGTTCCAAAGTGGTGGTAGAGAATCAGTGATGCCAGAGATGGAGGAAGAGATGATGATGTGGAAAGATGGGGCAGCTGGGAACTTCAGACCCAGAGAGGGAGAGGGGCTGTGTGCTGACAACCGTGGGGAAAGGCTTGCAGGGTATACCCTGAGTTTGGTTGATGATGCATGGAGGGGATTATAACCATGGCAATGAAATGATACACGATAGGATGAATGTAAATCTAATGTTCTCCCATGTAAACTATCACATAACTCACAATAAAACATTAAAAAAAATAGTATTCACTGTAAACAACAACAGTGTAGCCATTTATTATTAATTTATTTATTATCACCTTTGCTTTATTTAAATAAACATGAACTGAATAGCAAAATTAAAAGCTGAGAGTCCTGGCTTGGAACAATAATCAGTTAATTCAAATAAAAAATTTCCTCTGATTTTTACTTTCCCCCTTGGTATTTCCTAAACTATCTGAATATATAATAAACTTATCAATTCTCCTGTATTTCTTTTTCTGGAAAGTTAAGAGTTAAAACTAGTATTGATCTCTGCTGTTCCACATTAAGTTCTAATTTATTGTTGTTATGTGACTTCGAGTTGGTTTCAACTCATATGAGCCTGTATTGGGTTTCGAAGGAGTGGCTGGTGTGTTTGAACCGCCAATCTTGTAGTTCAAACCAACTTTATGGTCTAATGCTTATCCAACTGGGCCACACCAAGAAGCTTTTATTTAAATCACCTCAAAAATTAAATCAACTAAAACTTGCATTCAATGTGTACCATTTCATTTTGTGCAAAGGTAAAATCATTCTTCTTTAATACAGTTTGATAAAGTGTCAACATACCTGATTTCTATCTTTACCTAAATCACCTAATACTAAAAAAACCAAAGACATTGAAGGAAAACAAAGGGAATTCTTAGAAGCATTATACATTTTTTCCCCTAGATTTCAGACTAGATTCTTGGTGTGGTGCTGTAGGATCAGCACTGGACTGTAAACTACAGATCGGTAGTTCAAACTTAACAGCCGCTCCTCAGAAACCCTAAAAAGGTCGCTATGAGTCACAACTAGTTTGATGGCACTTAACCACAACAACAAAACTTCAGTGTAAGAAGAGTTTTGAATAAGTCCTGTAACTCTAATTCTGACATCAACCTAGTTGAAATGCCTGTGCTCTCAGTAATATCCTGAAAAGTGGTAAGAACTGCCTACCCTCCCATATTGACCTGACTTCCTCTAGTTATATCCCCAGAACTGGATAAGATAAATATGACATCCCAGGGCACCAAGATTATAAAGATCCAGAAGAGTATTTCTGCAAGAAAATACAGAAGTTTGAATGTTAAGTGTGCCATCCTCTGCATCTTACCTGGTATTGCCTTTGCCCATTTCACTGCTGCAATCACTTGCCGCCCACCTAACATGTTGAGTGTGGTCATGATCCGCCAAGTCGTATCTGGAACAGAGCTATCATATCCTGAATATAACACCTCAGGTTCAATGACCTCCAATAGTGATACCAGGGTAGGGGTAAGTTGTGGTAATGTTGCAGGAACTACTGTCTTGTTAACAGGATTTTCAGATGTTTCTTGTGAGACTCCTGGAGTGGCCTGCTGAATTCCTTTGATTTTTTTCTTTGTTTTTCGAGCTGTGGATATTTAAAAAAAAAATGCACACAAATGAACTGTAAGGGAAAGATCTGCATTATACCATTTATTGAAAAAATATTTTTAATTTCTGAAACTGTTCAGGCTACAAGAGGAAACATGCTTTATTTTTATTTAGCAATTAAGATAAAATGACATGAAGGAAAAATTTTATTCCTGAAAGCAAAAGATCACCAGGAACCCAGTGTCATATTAACTTCTCCTATAAATAAGTCAGTTACATCTTCATACTAGTTATACCTTATATAACTGTCTTACAACACTATGCTAAAACAATCTAACCAAATTATTTCTGTAGATTTTTCCATCAATTAATTTTCTCACTTTGATTCCCCAGTAGAAACTTTTACTGATATATATATAAAGCAAATTTTCATCATGCTCTATTGATTTACTAGTATGTGTACTAGTAGAGAGTGCACAGCTGAAGTCAGCATGTTAGGATTTAAATTCTGGCTCTACCACTTAAGACATGTGTGTCTGTTACTTAACCTTCCTGGAACTAAGTTTCTAGTTTCCTCTTCTGTAAAACGAGGGTAATATCTCAGGAGTAAATCAGTTCTATAATGTAAAATGCTGAACTATAACTACTTCAACTTAAAAGATAAATTAAGATAATATGGCTTTAGATTATTTAAAAATTAGATATTATAGGATCAATACACTTTTAAAAAGGAAGAGTTCCTATATGAATGTATATTCTCTTATATCCCACATTAGAATAATGAGGAGAGAATAATGACGGGCTGGAAGCTGGTTCTTTTTGGTTTTTTTTTTAAACCCACAGAACACCTTCTATCAGTCAGTATGTTATTAGTTTAATTTCTTATATTTATAATCCTAAATGAGAGAACTGATACTTTTGAATAAAGGTCATAAAGCCAGGTGAAGTCAACTCTATACATTAGACCGAGAAGTGTACTTTTTCTAAGTATCTTCCGCAAGGGACTGTTAGTTGAATTACCATTTTTTTTCCCTTTAAGATATGTAGCAAAGTATTCTTTGTAGTTTCATTTTACTCATGAGAAACCTCATTCATGTAGATATTTAATAGCCAGTCCAAAATTTCACAGCTAGTTATGTGAAAGTATTGAGGGGTAAAACCAAGCTATTACTACAGAATCTAATTAATCAGACTTTACCACATTTAAGTTCATGGCACTCAATATATATTTTATATAGAAATTTTTACAAGTCTGTGATAGTTCCGTTTCCTCCTTCATAAAAGTGAAAAAAATTAGTTTAAAAAACTTTTATACCAAGAAATAAAGCTATACTTTATGATTACAATGTAACTTGAAATGGGAATAAAAACATTAAAAAACATTCAGGATCACTGTTTAAAAACTTATTTGTAATCAAATGCCAGGCACTTCAAAGCAGTGAAGTGCTTTGAAGCACTTTGAACACAGCTGCCTTAAAATAAATCATAAAATTTACTTCGTATAGGGCAACATCATCAAAATACAACCCTAGAAAAGTACTGTTAACATTTATAGAGAATTGGGTTCTGAAAAACAAAACAAAACACTGTAAAAGCTCTAGGCTATCATTGAAATTGGTTGGCTTAGATGAACACAGGAATATTTCTAAAGATTATATACATATGTGTGTGTGTATACATATATATATGTGTGTGTGTGTTTTTAAATTAAATACTTGTATCCTCTGAAGTTGTTAAGTGCTTGTTGAGTTGGTTCCGACTCATAGTGACTCTGTATAGGGTTTGAACTGCTGATCTTGCAATTCAGACCAACCTTCTTGAGGTCCAGTACTTATCCTAAGGTGCTGCTAATTATGTTTGGGAGTACAGGTGCCTCCATATGATAAGCACTGGACTGCGAGCCACAAGGTCTACAATTTGAGCCTACCAGCTGTTCCGCTTGAGAAAGATGAGGCTTTCCGCTCCCTCAAAGATATAAAGCCTCGGAAACTGTATACAAGGTCGTTATGAGTTGAAACTGATTCTATGGCACTTAACAGCAACAACCATGTCTAAAATACATGCTTACCTCCTCCAAAAATGGCTTTACATCATCAACTCCTTACTTAACTATCTTGCTAACATTTTTTTTTTTTTTTTTGCATTGACAAGAGTAAAAAACTTGACTATTTTGTGCATTAATGATGTATGTCTGTCAGTAATGAACACTAAAAAGTAAGAGGCAAGAGTAATACTAGCTGTGATGGCTAAGGCTACGTGTCAACTTGGCTGGGCCACGATTCCCAGAAGTTTATGTAATAATGTAATTTGTAATCTGATGTGATCATTTTCATATATGGCCAGTTTTCTCATGAGACCTGTTCTTTGGAATCTAAGCTTGTCAATAAGTAAAGAGTGAGCATATATATTCTAGGATGATGTAAAGCAAAAATGACACTTTCACACTCAAAACAACTATACTTATCTACTTATAAATAAGTACATAAACCTAACAAAAACCAACCCCTGTGAACTTGGATTTTTAAATCTTTATTTTTCCTACAGGTAAATTACATTATCAATTGCATGACAGATCCATCTAACATAATAGAATCCTGGTGTGGTGCTTACAATAAGCACTGGACTTCTAACCAAAAAGTTACCAAGTCAAACTCACCAGTTGCTCCTTAGAAACCCTACTCAGGGTCACTATGTGTCAAAACCAATCTAATAGCATTTAATAACAACATCTAATAAATTATTCAATGAAAAACTAGATTATGATCTACCACATAACATAAAGGTGAATTTAAGGGTAATAGTGGATCCACTCTAAGGTGTTTTTATTATGAGGGTCCCAAATAACCTCTTTGAGTACAAGAATATACAAGAAAGACTACCATGTTCTTGGTAAATGCTAGTTTTCCCACCCTTGTAATACACTGACAGGTCCTAGCATGGTGCTGCAGGATGAACACAGGACTGCTAACTGCAAGGTCAGCAGTTTAAACCCAACAGCTGCTCCTTGGAAACACTATACTGAGTCGTTATGAGGCGGTACTGTTTAGAAGAATTTAACAACAACATTTCCATCAAGTTGATGCATTTTAAAAAAATCACAGCTCATAGAAACTTGTTTCTTTAAATTATATTCATTAAAACAATAAATTCAAACCAATTTTCAAAAAAAGACTTGATTGGAAATGGTGCTGATTTCACTGCCTGGTTTTCTAGTGAAGTAAGAGCTAATCTCCACTCATTAGTCTGTCATATTGTGGTGGCTGGAAGCTATGCACCTCTGGTGGACAGGTTTCAGCAGAGATTCCAGAGAGGCAGACGACTTCTGAATGTTCAGCCACTGAAAACCTTATGAACAGCACCAGATCACTGTCAGATATAGTGCCAGAAAATGAGCCCCTCAGGTTAGAAGGCACTCAAATATAACTGGGGAAGAGCTGACTCCTCAAAGTAGAGTTGACTGTGATGATCCAAATAGAGTAATGCTTCCAAGACTTTCATTTGCTGATGGGCACAACTCAAAATGAGGTGAAACAGAAGCAAACACCCATTAATATTCAGAACTTGTAATGTACAAAGTATGAGTCCAGGAAAATTGAAAGTTGTCAAAAACAAAGTAGAATGTACACAGATTGATATCCTAGGCATTAATATGCTGAAATGAACTGGTTATTGGCCACTTTAAATTGAACAATCGTATGTTTTACTATGCCAGGAATGACAAATGGAAGAGGAATGGCATCGCAGTTATCATAAAAAGAACATTTCAAGATCTATCTTGAAATACAATGCTGTTTATGATAGGAAAAAGCCCATATGCCTACAAGGGAGACCAGTTAATATCACTATTATTTAAAATTACACATCAACCACTAAAGCCAGTGATAACGAAATTGAAGAATTCTAATACCTTCTTCAGTGTGAAATTGATCAAACAATCAAGTTGTATTGATAATTAACGGTGAGTGGACTGTGAAGGTTGGAAACAAAGAATGGTCAGTAGTTGGAAAATATGACCTTGATGATAGAAATGATGCTGGGGATTGCATAGTAGAATTTTACAAGACCCAATGACTTCTAAATTGCAAATACCTTTTTAAAAACAATACAAAAGGCAATTATATAAAATGGAGCTCATTGGATGGAATACACGGGAATCAAACTGACTATATCTGTGGGAAGAGATAAAAGGAAAGCTCCATATCATCAGCCAAAACAAAGTCGGGGCAGACTGTGGAACAGACCATCAATTGTTCATATGCAAGTTCAGGGTGAAGCTGAAGAAAATGAAAAGAAGTCCACAAGAGACAAAATATGACCTTAAACACATCCCACCTGAATTTAGAGACCATCTCAAGAACAGATTTGATACATTAGACACTAATGACCAAAGACCAGAAGAGTTGTGTGAGAACATCCTACGTCAAGAAAGCAAAAACATCATTCAAAACACATGAAATACAAAAACTGGATGTCAGAAGAGACTCTGAAACTGGCCAATGTAGAGATGCTAAGGTGAATGAAAGAAATGAGGAAGTAAATGATCTGAACAGAAAATTTCAAATGTCAACTTGAGAAGATGAAGTCAAGTATCATAATGAAATGTGCAAAGATCTGAAATTAGAAAACCAGAAAGGAAGAACATGCTGAGCATTTCTCAAGCTAAAAGAAATGACAAAAAAAATTCAAGCCTTGACTTGCAATCTTGAATATGCAGTAAGCACCAAAAAGAAATGGCCAATGTTAACCCATTTTGTTGTTGTTGTTGTTATGTGCCGTGGAGTCGGTTCCGACTCATAGCGACCCTGCACAGGGTTTCCGAGGCTGTTAATCTTTACGGGAGCAGAACGCCTCATCTTTCTCCCGCGGAACCGCTGGTAGTTTCGAACTGCTGACCTTATGGTTCGCAGCCCGATTCGTAACCACTACGCTACCAGAGCTCCTTAACCCATTTTAAGAGGTAGCATTAAGAACTGATGGTCCTTAATGAAGAAGTCCAAGGACCTCTGGTAGCGTAGTGGTTATGAATCGGGCTGCTACCCTCAAGGTCAGCAGTTCGAAACTACCCTGTGCAGGGTCACTATGAGACGGAACCGACTCCACGGTACTTAACAACATATTTAACAACAACAATGAAGTCCAAGGTATGCTCAAGGCACTGGAAAAAAAACAACGCTCCAGGAGTTGCTGGAATACTATTTAAATCTTTTAACAAACTGCTGTGGCACTGGAGGCACTTACTCATTTATGGCACGAAAATTGCAAGACAGCTGGCCAGCCAACTAACAAGAGCTCCATATTAATGCCCATTTCAAAGAGAGGTGACCTCTCTTTGAATGTGGAAACCATTGAACAGTATCATTAATACCATATGCAAGTATAATATTGTTGAAGATATTTCAAAAACAGTTGCAGCAGTACATCAACAAGCAACAACCAGAAACTCATGCTGGATATGAAAGATGATGTGGAACTAGGAATATCAAAGCCAAGAATACCAGGGTTTTTACCTGTGCTTTACTGACTATGCAAAGGTATAGACTGTGTGAATCATAACAAACTATGAATAACATTGCAAAAATGGGTATTCCAGAACAGTTAAACACTTGAGTGTGCTCATGAGGAACCTGTACACACAGACCAGGAGTCAGTCACTGAGCAGAACAAAGGGATACAGAATGGTTTAAAAATCAGGAAAGGTGTACATCAGGGTTGTATTTGTTTCAAGATAGTTATTCAATATATTTACTAAGCAAATAATACTAGAAACTGGATTAGAAGCCAAGATGGTGATGCTTGGTAAAGTGGCAGGTCAGTGAAAAAGAGGAAGACCCCCAATGCGGTGCATTGGCACAGCAGAAGCAGCAATGGCTCATTGTAAGTGTAACAGTTGTGAGGACAGTACAGGACTGGACAGTGTTTCATTATGTTGTGACTAGTGTCAATATGAGGTCCTGGTGTGGTGCTGTGGGTTAATGCACTAGACTGCAAAGTTGGTTTGAACCACAAGGTCAATGGTTCAAACTCACCAGTCACTCCTTGGAAATCCTATGCAAGGTCACTATGGTTGGAACCGACTCGACGGCACTCTACAACAACAACAACAGGTTCACTATGAGCTTTGTTTTTTAAAATATGTATAAAAGGGAGAAGAAAATGGGAGAAACAGTTACTTGGTCCATCAGTTACTTGGTTCCATTATAATTTGGCTAGCAAAGGAATTGCTCAGAGAAGTATCCACTTAACGCTTTAAAGACATAAATTAAGCTTAATATATATTCACCTAAAAATGTTATTAGGTAAGCACCCAGACTATATTACTCTTATACAGTGCAATTTTATTTATGCTTTCCTTTTGAGTAAATATATTTTTAATATAAAATGGCTCAGATGAAAACTTGGAGATCAATCAGCTCAAAGTGAAATGCAACAATATGAAACTGGGTAAAATCTTGCAGACATCTCATATGTAAGGAAGTCAGGAATAACTGTCCCACTTTTATAACCCAAAGAAACTCCCTGTGACACTGAAAGTGCATTTTGTATTACATTACTTTATAATTCATCTCTAGCTTTCACAACATCTACAAGAAGTTGGGTAGCTCGTCCTTTATGTAATCTATTATTAGCATGTCAGCACTCTACAGGTAAGTTTAAGCAGTCTGGTCATATGTTAAGAAAAAAGTGGTGTAAAGTGGTTGTGTTACAGCTGTCTGTAAACATGGGGAAGAAAGACTAATATCAACATCATGATAAATGCAGAAAATAAACAGCCCATACGAGGGGACTTCAAAAAGTATGGAAAAATATGGAGTGGCCTGGAGTTGGTAATGACTCAATGGCAACTAACAGCGATCGATACTCAATTTTTAGATTTATTTAAAGTTTAATTTTACTTCTCCCAGGAAACCTTCTGTAACACCTGGGACAGAGCTAGGTGACCCTACCATGGCTCTTATGCTTATGGTTAGCCATACCATTTTGTGACTGATTCTACAGTCTTGACTAGGCAGTGAACTCCTTGAAAATGCTGTTGTTTTAAGTACTGTTGTGTCACTTCCGACTCACTGCAGCCCTGTAAAGGGTTCCTGAGGAGCAGCTGGTAGGTTTGAACCACCGACCTTACGGTTCAAACTGATCTTGAGGTCCAGTGCTTTATCCCACAGCGCCAGACCAGGGATCCTCTTGAAGATAGGCTCCATTTTATGTCTGTTATTAAGTGTCACTGAGTCAGTTTTGACTCACAGTAACCCTGTATAGGGTTTCCCAGGAGCCTCTGGTAGATTTGAATTACTGACATTGTGGTCTGCAGTCCAGTGTTTATCCTACAGTGCCTGTCTTATTAATGAATACCTGCAGAATGGAATTGCCAGTATCACCAACAACTTCTAAGCCCATGAATTACTTGATCACCAATACCACTGTTATGGAGTGTGTAATCTCAACTAAAACAGATTACAAACATTTTTCAAAGGAACGTTTTTGATGAGATCAATGTTATTTACAACTTGTTATGTAAATAGGGATATGAAACTCAAACATATTTAATTTCAGGTTTCTTCTTTATCTGGAAAGGAGGACCAAACAAAACCCATCCAATCAATACCTTTTTGATGAATTTTATTTTCCCTTCATATATACAATGAAAAAGGAACTCTGGTAGCGTACTGGTTACGAATCAGGCTGCTAACCTCAGGGTCATCAGTTCGAAACTACCAGCTATTCCACGGGAGAAAGGTGAGGCTTTCTGCTACCGTAAAGATTGACAGCCTTGGAAACCCTGTACAGGGTCACTATGAGTTGCAACTGACTGCATGGCACATAACAACAACAACAACATATACAGTGAAATGTGTGCATATCCAAAAAAAATGTGTATTTTTAAAAGGGAAATTACAAAAAAGACATGTAATAAGAAATATTTCCAAAGATTTCTAACCCTAGGAACTAGTTTTGAAGCTGAAAAGGGAATATAAATAGATGAAAGTAATACTACTTCAAATTATGTTAAGTTTCATTATTATGTAATTTCTTTTCTTAGTATATGTTTGGGCTGTATTAAATTCAGTGAATCTAACAAGAGCAGGCAAATAAACTTAAATACTGGATATTTATACAAATAATGGGCACAGTCTATGTGTGTGTTTGCCAACTATACCCATCCTGTCCCTGTGCTATGTATGCTAAATTTCACAGGTGGAGGGCACAGTTGGCAAACAAACAGAATATGCATAAAAGTATGTTAAGCAGAATATAATGTTCATTATAAAAAATGTCTATTTTTGTTATTCAGTTACATAAACATTTTGCTAATCTAGCACATTTGTGGAAAAATCCCATGAACTTTTTGAAGCCCCCTCGTATAGACTGCAATGACTAAATTATCAAATTTATTTGTATATATCTTAAGTAGTAAAATTAAAATTTTTCTATGATGCAGATATAAATAATTCCTTTTAGGTATTTACAATACCTTCCAGGTTCATTCCAGCTTGAAGGCATTTTCGATAGCGGCATGCTGGGCAGTTTTTTCTTCGAATTTTATCGATGATACAGTCATTTCTTCCAGCACAAAGATAATTGTGCTGTCCTATATGAAAAATAAGAGCATAGTTAAAACTTCACAGGTTTTAAAGTTACTTATACAGAGGGCTTCTTTGTTTTTGTTTCGGGTGATATACAGCCAAAAGCCAAAGGCATCGATTAAGGAAGGTACACTGTACTTTTCTATATTGTCCACATTATAAAATCCTTATTCTGTTCAATAAATTTAGTTTATTAAAAATCAAACGTTTAATACAGTATTTGTATAGAAAAGGATACAGTGATTTATAGAAAAGGATACAATAATTAAGTATATTGTTATTACAGGCAGTTGAGTCGGTTCTTACCCATAGTGACCCAGTATAGGGTTTCCAAGAAGCATCTGGTGAGCTTGAACAGCTGACCTTGTGGATCAAACCAACTTTGCATTAGCCCACAATGCCATACCAGATGGAACGCCTTATGTAATCAGCAATCAGATCAGGAAACAGCAGTACCCCCCAGTCTTCCCTTTGAGCAATTTTCCTCACAGGAGAACCACTTCCTTGACTAATTTCATTTTACAGTTGTTTTTTTTTTTTTTTTTAAAAAACATAAAAGACTAGTATTGTCTGTCTAATGTTATTTAGTACCCAAAGTGTGTGTCTTTTTATATATAAAGAAGATTCATGAATGAATATAAGGATTTTAATTTCCCCATATCACATGCAAAACTTTAAAGTCCTTCATATTACTTTAAAATTAAAGATGAACTTAGTCTTCCATCTGTTACAGAAGATGTTTGTCACCACACTTTTATTATGACTTCTGAATACATACAGAGGAGGACATTAAAGGACGAGAACACTAGTTTACAACTACTGTGGGATTCCCAAGGGAAAATGACTCTAATTCAACATTACACCACCACATGCAAATAAAAAAGGAGTCCTGGTGTGGTGCTGTAGGAAAAATACTGGACTACTAATTACAAAATTGGCAGCTCAAACCCACCAGCAGCAGCTTCTTGGAAACCCAATACAGAGTCACTGTGAGTCAGAACCAACTTGACGGCACTTAATAAGAACAACGCAAATCAAATGTGCTCCTCTTCTCAATTATAAATGAAGTGATATTTAAACAGCAATATTTAATCTTGCATGTTAAGGCTGCCAAGTGAATTACAGAGTTTCAAACTAGTGTATGTGTTGTTGTTCATTGTTAAGTGCTGTAGAATTATAGTGACCCTGTGCACAACACAATGAAACACTGCTTGGTCCCACACCATTCTCAAAATTGTTATGTTTGAGCCCATTGGTGCTGTCACTGTGTCAATCCATCTCCTGGGGGTCTTTCTCTTTCTTTGCTGATGCTCATTTTACCAAGCATGATGTGCTCTCATCCCTCCTTTTAATATGTCCCAAGTATGAGAGATGAAGTCTCACCATGCTGCCTTCTAAGGAACATCCCAGCTGTACCTCTCCTAAGACAGATTTGTTTGTTCATCTGGCATCCATGGTACTTTGAATATTCTTCTTCAACACCATAACTCAAAAGCATTAATACTTTTAAGGTCTTCTTTATTCATTTTCAACTTTTACATGCATGTGAGGCTACTGAAAATACCATAACTTGGGTCAGGTGCACTTTAGTCCTCAAACTGATATCTTTGCTTCTGAACACATTAAAGAGGTTATGCTACAGATTTGCCTAATGCAATACATCATTTGATTGGACTGCTGCTTCCACGAGTGTTGATGGTGGATTTAAGCAAAATGAAGTCCTTTACATCTTCAATCTTTTCTCCATTTATCATTACATAGAATTAAAAAAAGTCAACAAAATTCACATGTTTATAGAACATACGAATGTTTAAATTCATCATTGAACTCTACTCCACATTTGAAGATCTAATTTACTATTTGAAACCTTCTGGTGTCCGGTGTTCAATAATGGGTTAAGAGACAGAATTGCAGTTCTAGACTAAAGTTTCAGGGAAAAGACTAAAAATGTCCTTTCGCCCAAATGCATATACATACATACAATCTTATTTTTCAATCTGATTGGCGAATGTTGAAGAAAATTAGCTGAGGATCTTCCTTGGCAAAAACTAAGAGAACTCTCATAAACAAGATTGATGTGTCTGAACAGCTACACTGACTTAGAACACTAAGAGTGAAGTACCCTACATTAGAGGGGATGACTGCCACAAGATTCTACAGAACAGATACAAGAAAAGAAAATTGTAATTATAAATTTACTGGCTTGAAAAGTAATAGCTGTTTTTAGGAAAGGATTCTATTCATAGGACAAACTATAAGTGCTGTTTCCTACTATTTGCTCTTTTAAAACCAGTTTTGGGGAGATGGTTAATAGTGTAAAGCTCAATTCCTTGTGAGGGATAGGCCACACGTTGAGTAATGGTCTATAGTTCAGCTTTGTTCCAGAGTTGCTCACCAATGCCAACTGTCTGTACCAGCTATTTCAATTCCTTTCTGTATTGTCTTAAGTTTCTGAGTTTTTTTTACTTGGATGTGAAATGGAAGCACGAACCTATCCCTTATCCTGATGTAACACTGTGGATCAACACTGGACTGAGGACCACAGGTCGGCAGTTCAAACCCACCAGCTGTCCTCAGAAACCCTATACAGGGTCTCTCTGAGTCAGAATCGACTAAATAGCACTTAACAACAGCAACGTAAAGTAAAAGGAGAAACAACAGATACATCTGTAATTGAAGCAATTACAAATACTTAAGAATATTTTAAAATCACTGTCCTACAATTATTGAGATAATTGAAAAAAACATTTACTGCAAAAAAAAAAAAAAAAAAAATCCAATGTTTATGATCAACCAAAATATCAAAATGTGCTACAGATAATGAATACAGTTGTGATTATAGAACAAATTGTTGCCTGAACCTGTGTCATCCTCACTATAGTAGGGATGTTTGAACCTATTTCATTAACAGTCTTCCTCTTTTTTGCACATCCTCTGCTTTACCAACCACGATCTCCTCCAGAAACAGATCTCTCCTGATATTGTGTCCAAACTAAGTGAGATGGCACCTCACCATCCTCACTTGTAAGGAACATACATTCTGGTTGTACTTCTCACAAGAATGAAGATTTCTTCATTCTTCTAGCAATACATGTCATTGTTAAGTGCTGTCAAGTTGATTCTAACCCTTAGCGACCCTGTATAGGGTTTCCAAGGAGCAGCTGGTGAGCTTGAACCACCAACCTTGCAGTTCAAATGACTTTGCAGTCTGACGCATTAACCCACAGCGCCACACCAGGACTTGTACATAGTATGTTTAATATTATTTGCCAACCCATAATTCAAATGTGTCAATTCTTTGGTCTTCCTTTTTCATAGTCCAGCTTTTACATGCATATGTGGCAACTGAAAATACCAAGGATTGGGTCAGGTTCACCTTAATCAGCTTTGCTTTTTAACATTTTAAATAGAAGTCTTTTGCAACAGATTTGTTTGATAGGTCATTTGATTTCTTGACTACTGTGCTTCCATGATTGTTGATTTTATATGCAAGTAAAATGAAATCCTTGAACCATCAATATTTTCAAGGTGTAATCCATACTGAATAACTGATTTCTTTTATCTTCATTAGTAAGTGGTGCAAACCAAGTTCTTCCCTTTCATCAAGCAAGTTTGTGTTATCTGCATATCACAGGTTGTCTGAGTCTTCCCCTAATCCTGATGTCATGTTCTATCTTCTCAGATTATCTGTTCTGCATACAGGTTGATTAAATGTAGTTAAAGGATATAGCTGTGGTGTATATCTTGTCCAATTTTAAACCACGTAGCATATCCCTTTATACTACTGTAAAACCGCTTCTTCATTTATGTATAGTTTCTATATAAACACAATGAATTGTTTTGGAATTCCCATTCTTTGCAATGTTATACACAATTTGTTAGGATACTTGAATGCCTTTTCCTAGTCAATAAAATACAAGTAAACATCTTTCTGGTATTGCCTGCTTTTAGCTAAGATCCATTTGACATCTTAGTAATAGTAAAGTTTTATTTTAAAGAAAGTAATTAAGTTTTTTAAAAGTGAGTCAAAACATTGTTCTACATTGTACTTTGGTAAGTAGCTACTGGGATACTTTAGAATCATGAGCAGCCATCTAAGTTGCAACCATTAGTGTCTCCCTGTCCAAAGGAAAGTAGAGTGATAAAAACCAAAGACACGGGGAAACAATTAGTCCAATGGATTAATGAACCATGGGAGCATTATTATCTATGAACCTGAGATAAGTACAACTAGATGCTACCACTACTACCTGCTCAGAAAGGGATCACATTAAGAAGGTCCTGTACAGAGTGAGAGAAAAAGTGGGAATAAAACTCAAAATTAGAAAATAGACCAGGCTTACTGGTTGAATAGAAATTGGTAGAACCCCTGTGAATATGACCCTTAGTAACTCTTCAGGTCTGGAACTGAACCCACCCCATGGATCAATTTTCAGTCAAATAATAGATTTATAAGAGGAAAAAGAACATTAGTGAGATATGCAGACCTTAGAATAATCAACTTTTAGAGATCAAAAGGGTAGAATTTACTTAAGGACAAAATTCAGAAAGGTTAGGGAAGAATGAAAACAGGAAGTGGGATAAGTGATATTATGCTATCACTTAGGTGTCTGCAATCAATGAAACAAAATGTGTAAGAATTTTTAAATGTAAAACTGATAACTGGCTCTGTAAACCTTGACAAAATTCACAATAAAGTTAAAAAAAAAAAGTCAAGGAGAAAAAAAATTAAGAAATTAATAGAGCAGACATGTGTGGCTATGATAAACATCATGAAACTGGTGCAGGAAGTGGCCAGTACTGCACAAGGTACATTCTAGTTAGTGTCTTCTGCAGTTTACATACTCTATCGATGTTTCTAGTGATCAGTGAGAACTGTGACTATCAGCTTAAATTATTTTCTTTATTTACATGTGGTACACTGAGGAGTACACTGGTAAGGTGCCAAAGAGTCCTTGATCTGAATCCTGGCTCTATGTGCTAGCTTTGTGAGCTTGGTAATATT